ACAGGGGTTGGAATACCCTCTGCCACTGTTACACCGCACAGTACCATAATGTTCTTAAACCAGGGCCCGGAGAGAATAAACAACATGACAGAGAGCACATATGGAAAATAATGTGTTATAATACTCAATTTGGAAACAGGCGCAGCAGACTTAAGATTAAAGCAATCAGCATTATGACTAACAACTATTAATTAGGTCTAATACCAATTTTAGTTTAACACACTCTGGTCAGTTCTGTCGTTATCTCAACCCTTTGTGCCCCAAGTTGGGCGCCAAAAGGGCTGTTGTGGTTTAACCCGGCCGGCAGCTGAACACTACACAACTGTTCGCTCACCCTCCCCCCTCCCTCTCTGGGATGGGGGAGAAAAATAGGAAAGTGAAACCCGTGAGTTGAGATAAAGACAGTTTATTAAGACAGGAAAATAATAATAACAACAATAATAACCGTAATGATGATAATTGTACTACTGCTAATAATGTGTACGAAACAAGTAATGCACAATGCAATTGCTCACCACCTGCTGACCGATGCCCAGCCTAACCCCGAGCAGTCCGGCCCTCCTCCCCCCAGCTAGCCATCCCTATATATTTAGCATGACGACAGATGTGATGGAATACCCCTTTGGCCAGTTTGGGTCAGCTGTCCTGTGTCTGTCCCCTCCCAGCTCTTGTGGCACCCCCAGCCTGCCCGCTGGCAGGACAGAGTGAGAAGTTGAAACATCCTTGGGTTGGTGTAAGCACTGCTCTGCAACAATTAAAACATCGGGGTGTTATCAGCACTCTTCTCATCTTAAGCCAAAACATAGCATTCTACCAGCTACTAGGAAGAAAATTAACTCTGTCCTAACTGAAACCAGGACAGCTTCCTGTTTTATTAGATGGTTTTAGTGGCTGCTCAAGCATCTTTCAGAATGCAGTTACTTTCTTTAGTTACCTTCTTTACAGTTACCAGCAATCTGGAATGAATAGGAGTCTCGGCCTTCCACCAGTCTATTGCTTATGCGTGAATGAGCACTATTAGGAGCAGTAACTGCAGGCTAATGGAGGTGCTCTGTGTGAAGAATGTTTTGATGGTGGTCAGAAATCTCATTCTGAATATATGTGTATGAATATTAAGAGTCCTTAGGCTGGGTGACGTAGTAGGAGGAAGTCTTGCACCTCTTGGATAGTGGATCTTGTTTGAGGAGAGTGGAGAAACCACTTAATTTCCTTGGGTGTTTCTCCCAATGAATGGTAAAATAAACTACATTTGCTCATACAGATCATATGTTTCCTGTAGACTCTGTAGTGGTTTGTTGTGTTAAGGTGTCTAGCTGATTAACTGATACAGGTCTGGTTGGATTCAGGGTACTGAACTATCCTGAATTTTCCTACAGTGTAACATGCCCTCACTCTAGTCCCGCTCAATGAGAACTATCACAGCTAGGAACGATGCAGTTCAGTGCAATTTATTACAGCAACAGGTACACATGTTCTTTGGATTGCCGGTGATAGTGACTGTCTGCAAAAGCAAGCTAACAAGCATGAAATACGCAGGTGTGCAGCCTGGAAATTAACGTGTTAAAAGGCAAAGACTCTATAGAGATTTCTAAGTTTCCATGGAGACACCCAGTATAGCCAGATGTTCAAATCTCACCCAAAGGCATCCCAATGAGGTGGGGAGGGGGGAGGTTCAGCCCATCAACTGATCCCAGGAGTCAGGAGGTCCTCGGGATGGTATCTTCCCTAACATCCCCTCTCTCTTAGGCCAATTTATATTATTTTCTATCTTTTAGGTGGAGCTTGAGTAACTTTAGTCAAGCATTTCTTAGTTATGATTGAAAAGTTTTCTTGCTTTTGTTTAAAGGAATAGGCTCTGAGAAATTCAGAGCGCATGCTCAGTGAGGGGTGGTCGCACCTTGGAGGTGGGTAGCTTTTGGGATGGAGGTGCGTTTTGGTATTATAATGATATTATAATGATATTATAATGATATTATAATGAGAAAAAGTACACTAGAGTATAGCATTTGTCAGAACATGACAGGTCCTTGGCTCAGGGTAGCAAAAAGTGCAGTTTATTGGTCTTGGTGTGCACAAGAACAATCGAGTCCCCCCCTCTTGTCACAGAGCCTAGCCGTGGTGTCTCCACTCCACTCTACGCCCCGTACTGTTCCTTAGAGCCAGCACACCAGGTTCCCCCAGTGCGATATCATCTAAGGTTGGCAGCCTAGGGAACGCTCAGGTAATACAGCTACACTCTACCCTGAAAGCCTCTTCAGTGCTGTACATTTTCTTTAAAACGTGAATATTAGTTTAATTTTCCTAGTAACTTTAGGCAATTGCTCCACATGCTTGTGCATTTTTGACCTGGAATGTAGTCCTAGTGTAGATAAGCCAGTAACCCATTGATATTGATTCCAGCTCGAAGTAGACACAGGTCCTGGAAGACAATATATTTCATAAGACGCTGAGTGATGGAGCAGTTTTTGCTCTGAACTGATTGCTTTTCCTGCGCCCCCTTTTCCAACACTCCCACCTGTTTCCTTGCCATCTTCTTTTTCTGGGGTGTCCTGGGTTTCAGTGCAAGTTATGGATCCATCATGCAGTCACTTCTGAATACTGTTTCTTTTCATAGGGCTTGGAATATGCTATCAACTTTGATAGTTCAAATATTTATAGAGAAAAATTAACAACATAAGGTATTGTTCATCATGCTCTAAGGGCTATAAAATTTTACTTTTGAATGTGTTGACTTGAGTCTTGTGAAGCAACTCTGTGGCATGTTGCACTTATACCAGTGATGCACCCCTCAATTTTAGGAACGTAAATTATGTGATAGCATCAGCTTTGGAGCATTACTTGGTATAAAGGATCTGTTGCTCAAAGGTAGTAAGCTGTCAGGGCTGGCTGTGTCAGTTAATATGCAGCACACTCTGCTGATTGCTCTTCTCATTTCATGTGCATGATAATCTGTCTTACAAGCAGCAGTGGTGCACATTTAAGGACACAGGGAGCATCCCTGCACTGTACTGATGTCCCACGGGCTGCTTATGTGTCTGCAAGGCAATCATTTTGTCCTTGTACAGCTTCTGGCAGCTTGCTGTCCTGGAGGCAGTTTAGGAACTTGAATGAGAGAGGTTATAGGCTCTGCCAGTGGTCAGCGTCCCTCTTCTGCCTGCTCTGATTCTGGCCAGAGAGCTGTCCTTTCTGCTGGTGTTTTAGGTAGATGTAACTAGTTCAGGGCAGTTAGCTTTTATTGGAGGGCTGGGTGTTGGAGAATGGGGCTTTGCATGTGGCTGTCTGCTGCTGCAAAAAGACAGAAGTTCATCTAGCATAGGACTTACACTTGTATCCGTTGGCAGTAAAATGTGAAAGGCCATGTTTTGTTGGACGTTTCTTTTTGTCATTAAGTGCAAGCTGCTGTCACAAGTCACAATCTCATTCTTCCTCTGCAGTGCTTGTGTAGCTCCACAGTGAGTAGAAGAACTGATCTGGCTGAAAAGCAAATCAAAAAACTTGAATTTTCTGCCATGTCTGTTATGTTCATTGCTTTGATTCACTGCTCAATTGCACGAACATTTCAGCATCCCTGGGGTGGTATTAGAAGTGAGGCATGTGGGATGAGCATGAAGGGGACCAGAACCATTCCTTCCCTTTGCCAGTAGTCCGCACTTAAGTTTTATTGAAGTCACCATGCAATTGAAGTGGTTGTCTGTCCTAAAGATGATTTTAAATATAATGCTGTGCTGTCTGCTCTTTTGTTTCATAACACTAATGAATTTTCCCTGTGTAGGGAGGAGAAATAAAAATACCTACCTGACTTCTATTCCCTTGAGCACCCAATCCAAACTTATGAGTGTATCAGCTAAGATTAGTAGCTTAAATGAAAAAAACAAAAAACAAAAAACAACAAAAACACAATATTTAGCAAAGCCTATATTTAAAACCAGGAGTTTGGTGAACTTGTGTTCTCTTCTTTCTGCTGCAACTTTTCAGAGGTTCTTAACTTCAGAGGTAACGTAGCAGCCGGTCAAATTTCAAGCTTTGTGCTAGTGGAGTTGTAAGTTGCTTGTCGTCCAAATTCTCTTTGTTTCTGAGGTGTCAAGTCTACTTGTGTGTTACTTAAGTGAAATAAACCATCAGTTTCCAGTGGTCACAGAGCACATATGTGATCACCCAAGATAAAGCTATGTCTCTGAAAATGTGCTGCCCATTTATAAGCCTGTGCTGTTTTCTTGCTTTGCTTAAATCTGGTGCTTTTAGTCTGTGCCTGTCACTGGGGAGGCTCCTTTTTCTTTACTTCTGACTGTTGTTGAACCAGTTTGGTGAAGAAATATTTCTCTCATTTCCTCCTGCTTGGTTTAACAATTAGGTTTGTTGTTCTATCATTAAGACTTAAAATATTTACTACAGTGTTACAGAGTTGTATTTTATGTTTTATATGTGGTATAAAATAGTTTTCAGTTATTTAATCAAGGGGAGTATGTAAAATAGTGTGAAATATCAACTGCAACATGTTTTTTTTCAGTGAGTGTTCCTGTTTTGGGAAAAGCAGTAAACTAGTATGTGCATGGAGAATGAAACTGCTGAAGTGATGGTACCTTAAAGTTAGGCTGTGATGATTCAGATACACATGGCCTTAGTAATTTTAGGGCAGCTTATATTTAAAAACAAAAACAAAACAGACCTGAAACTACCCTTGATAACTGAATTTTAAGAGCTAGGCTAAAGTTCTGCCTGTTTTAAGGAACATTGCAGCTGTATTGACTACTTGGTCAGAAAACTTGTTCACCTTTTAAAAACATTATCATTTACCTTGAATCGTGTTCCATTTTGATAGCCTCCTTCATATAGAAAATATAGCATGAGATGTCTGTTTAAATGCAAGTCTAATAATGCTCTATCTTCTATGTGAAAGGAAGTATTCTGTACATTTTTCCATGTTTGACATCATGGTGTTTTGAATAACCATGTTCCATATTCATATCAATTTTTTGTTTTTGTTTTCAATTTATGCACAGCATTTGCTCTGAAATTTGGGGATTGAGTACACCAAACACGATAGATCAGTGGGATACAACAGGCCTTTACAGCTTCTCTGAACAAACCAGGTGAATATTCTGCCCTCTATCACATCATAGAAATCTTGTGGGAGGGATTGGATTTGGAGGGTCTGTAATGGGATGCTTTAGCTTTAAAATAGACTAAAATGCTTCCTAGGCCTCTCATGGTGCAGCATTTTAAAATATTTGCTTGCCAGTGTAGAAATCCAGGTGTTCTCAGCTGATGTTTTGACCAATGAAAATCTAATTCCAGAAATTCCAGAAAAATCTAATTCCTTTTTCATGCCAGTGCCGTTGAAAGAATGGGAAGACTTGTTAAATGCAAGCTCTAATGTGATTTGGTATTTATATCAACAAAGTTGGGCTACTCAATTCTTTAGACCTAATCTTTACAGAGTGTTTAAACTGCTTTGTATGCCGCAAGCTTTCAGTTAAGCCTTGCTAATTGGCTCAGATACGAGCTACTAAAGAACTGTTTGTAAATTCTTCAGTAGTTAATGGTGGGCAAATTCTAAACAGGGTCTTTATTTTTTTTCATGTCACATTACTTGATTTGTGTATTGACGTTTGTCTCCCATTCCATAACGATCATAAACATCTGCATTTGTGTAAGCATATGCAGTCAGTCTTAAAACATTTTCAGCTGGTAGCAAGGCAGATGAAGTCAAGACGATAAGCTGTACAGCCCTTACGAGATGTGTGTTCATGCTTTTTGCATTACAGTTATACTGCCATGTGGATCACGTGGGCAGCTGACTGTTTAGAGGCTTATTTGCAGTCCTGTGGGAATTCTTATGCTTAAAGTAATAAAGCATCTGTGCCACAGCAAAGCCTTGTGGTTTAGAAACTGGAGGGACTATTAAATGTGTGTTTTTCTTTCAACAATTGTCTTTTGACTTTTAAAAATGTACGTGAAGCAATTATCCTAAATACTTGGTTGGAGGTAAAAGTGGCTTTTATTGAACCATAAGTTCACTGGCAATAATTTGAACATCTTCAAAAAAGTAAAAATGCTGTTTGATATCATCACTTGTCTCATCTGAAGTCTTTTAACAAGAGTACAAATGTTACTAATAGTGTCAATTGTGTGAACTCTGAAAATGAACAAACTGCCTTTCCCATGTGCGTACACTGTTGTTTGAGTGATTAAGAGACAGCATGCAGTCTGTAAATACTTCTCAACATCTTTCCCATGTAGATCTCTCGATGGCCGACTACAGGTATCTCATCGTAAAGGATTACCACATGTTATTTACTGTCGTTTGTGGCGCTGGCCAGATCTTCACAGTCACCATGAACTTAAAGCAATTGAAAACTGCGAATATGCTTTTAATCTTAAAAAGGATGAAGTATGTGTAAACCCTTACCACTACCAGAGAGTAGAGACACCAGGTAGGAAGACTGTTTCTGATTTTATAGCAGCATCTGTATGTACACACTTGTTCAGCATAATATTTTAAATAAAAAAATAGAAGGATGGTGTGCTCTCTTGCCAAAACTACAAGATGATTAAAGGTACAGGTTTTGAGAATACCATCCATTGAAAGTTTTTAGTAATAAAGATGCTGAAAAACTTTTACACATGTTGAATAACAATGATAAATGCTTCCAGTACTGCTAGCAATGGTATGGTCCAGCATGGAAATGAAAGAGTTGTCTTACTAATATAGAGTGGTCTTACTCAAAAACACCTCAGGAATCTGTTATGGTAACTAGTGGTACGATTGCAGTATTAGCAGTACTGAGAAACATCTGAAGAAATTGTTAGATGTTTTATTTTTTTCCCTTTTGGTTCATAGAAGTGTGTATTTGAGGGTCTTACTAATACTTTGAATTTTGCTTTTCCAGTCTTGCCTCCTGTACTAGTGCCACGGCACACTGAGATTCTAACAGAGCTTCCACCTCTTGATGACTATACCCATTCCATTCCTGAAAATACTAACTTTCCAGCTGGAATTGAACCGCAGAGCAATTACATACCAGGTATTTGCTGAACTCCTAATGCTAGCAGTACACTTATCTTTGTTCCATTGCTGCTGCATTGTTGTTGATTTCACGAAGTGATTAAATGAATTGAAAAACATACCAATTAAATCTTGTTGATTTTTCTGCATTAACTCCAATGGAAGGCCTGAACACTGTTACTTGTAGAACATGATCCTGTATGAAAAAGGTATTGCTGCAGTTTCAGAGTAGCTTACTTGGTTTCAGTAGCTTAAGGTTCAAAATGCTGATGAGTACAAAGTAGACCTTCATGTTATGGTTTAAGACTTCTATAAACATGTAGGTGTTGCCAAATGCTGTATATTGGAGATTGAGTAGTAAACTGCTCAATTCCACCATGTGCAGTATGCAGAGAAAACTAAGTTGCAAAGCAGTGTAGCTTGCAATTGATCAAGGTCTGCTTTGTGTACTTGTTACAATTGTGTGCATACAATTTTTGTTAGTGTTCAGGAAAGGAATAATGTAACTGTACTGAACTTCTAAAGAATGCTTCTTCCCTACCCCAAAACAAAATTCAAGACTGAGCTGCTACAGTGCACACACAAGCCTGTGTCCTTACAGAAATGTAAGATAAGTAACCTTTGTTTCCTGTCCCAATTTGCTGTTTCCTACCTCTTCAGAAAGTTGTCTGGAATATAAAACCAAGCCAAGCTGAAGTTTTTTCATAAGTTTAATGCAGTTGTGTTACAGCATCCAAGGACTGATGAATAAGCTGAAAATTCAGGTCCTGGCTCTCTAGAAGAATGACTGCATTGTATACTACACACATCTGAGTTTCAAACTGTATCTACGTGTCTTACACAGGATGTTTCTTGCATTTTCTTTAAATGTATCTGAGAATTGAAATGGCACCAAGAAAATTTCCATGAACTTGATCTCCTCTGTTTAATCGGTGCCAAATTTGTTGCCACTTAAGGGTGAGATATTTAAAGAGCTATTTAAGATGCTAGAACTTGATGTTGCTTTCTTTGCTTATGTATACTTCATTGACTCCATCAGAGGGCTTTTGATAGTGTTTGCAGACAACTTACTGGAAAGCCACCATTTGAAAATACAGGAAATGAGCTCAAGGAACTCTAGGTAGTTATTTGCAAGAAGTCTGTTCAAGGTGATTGCAGGTACTCACATGATCTTCAAATGTTTATGCAACTCACCATACCTTGCCTCCTCTTTGCCACTGACACCCTCCTTGTATTCAAGAATTGTATCTTATTTTGACCACCTTAACTAATCTTGACTACTTAGCTAGGTTCTGATAAGCCTTGTGTGTCTTGACAGCCTGCTTCAGAGAACTTTTCTTTAGCAGTAAACCAGACTAACTGTGGTAGTATTGTACCACAATACTGTCTCAGTATGTCTACAAAGAGATCTATTTCACCTACAGTGTAGCTCTTGTATGTTTGCTGGGCAGATGGTGATTGTGGAGGTGCAGGGTGGCCTTCAGGGCCCATCCAAATCTGGGATGTGCTGAGCTGTTTTGTCCAAACTTGTGGCAGCATTCATGCTCTGCTAGGAATTTTTAATGCTGCACTTCAACACTTCTTTCCAGCTGTGTTGATGCTCACCTCTGACCCTAAAACAGTATTAATAGTACTAGATTGGAGGGGATCTTCTGTGTTCAGACAGACTAGATATGGAAAATAACCTGTGCCAAACAGCCTATATTAGCAACTGGAAACAGGAGGTGTGGGTTGGATTGGAAATGGTTATTGACCTTTTACCATGTCTGTGGGCTTAAGTATAACAAATAATTTAAAGATGGTTGGAGTCTGGTTTATCACAATGAATTCTATAAAAATGTTCAAAACCACGTGGTTTTGTCATCATAGTTCTTGTTAGTAAAGATTTCCTTTAATCTTCCTTCTAAATTCTCACTTGAATTTTGTCACATCTATATTTAGTGTGTAGTTTTACAGACTGAACCAAAGATGCAGTTCATTTGGTTCATTTTTATTTAATCAACTGATTTAATTTTCCTTCTGATCTTCCTTATGTCAGAGACTTACAGCAATAGATATTAGATGTAACTTGATTTTAATTCTTAGGCAAAAGGCTTTGTTTCTGCTCTTTGATAATGCATAATTAAATTGGAATTATTTCAAACATGTGAGAGATTAAACTAAGGTGATTATAGAGATCAGTTAGCTTTGACCTTCTTTCACTAAAGAAACTGAAGTTTTGTCACTAATATATAGGAGAAGACACTTGCCCAGTTCAGACAAGATTACTTCCTGAAAGGCAGTTGGTTAACTAATTATCTAGATTACAAAGTACATTTTGAATGGGGAAAAGGAACAACCATACTCTCATGGGATTTGAAGATATTTTTGTGAAATTAAACAAAATATCTAGTATCAAAATACTTTATATTTGTTATTGAGTTTACTTTGGTCTGTAAAATTCCTGGCTTTAGACAGCTAGTTAAAAGAGTAGATTTTTTTTGATAGTATGGAATTTATAACAACAATAGCTTGTGCATCATAATGTTAGATAATGTAGTTGTTAATGAGTGAAATCAACTGTTGGGTTGATTTCACTCAGTTAAGAAGTTAAGATTTAATTTCACAATTAAATCTTAACTTCTAGGGAGTAGGAGGGTGTCTGATCTGATGGTTGTACTATATAAAGACAGCTTTTTTTTTTTTTTTTTGTAGAAGTCACCTGATGGTTTTTCATTTGTAATTCTACTAAATGTGAAAGCTGTTAATCGCAATTGCAAAATTGTTAATCATTGTAGTGAAAGTATCTTGTATTACGTGGAACAAACAAGGATTGTCCATTAATTATACAATACATGTATGTTTGAGGAATTGGCAGGCATACAAAAGATGATACGTTTTATGTAGGCAATAAGCCAGGTAATGGATTTAAATTCCTGTGGTAGAAAGAAAGTCCAGCAGAAGGAAATTCTAATTCAGTATTCAGGTATAATATAGAGTTTATGAAGACTTGAGGACTAAACCCCCAAATGTTAAATCTTACAAGTTTCCCTATTATTCAACCAATAGATGGATATTTTATTTTTAAACAGAAACCCCACCTCCCGGATACATCAGTGAAGATGGAGAAACAAGTGACCAGCAGTTGAACCAAAGCATGGATACAGGTAACATTTTCACCACTTTCAAGACTTGGGATTACTAGTTGTGATCCCTTTATGTAGTGGTATGACTTAAGCCCAAATGATACTGGCAGTAGCCCTCTGTACAACCTGTTGTTTTGTGTTGAAAATACAAGTTTTTTTATTTTTTTGTGAGCAAAATATTTTTTTTTTGCCAGGGTAATGCTTTTAAAACACTTATGCTTTTGTTATGAAACAAATGAAATGTACTTAACATGGCACAAAGTCTAATTAAGGCTTCATCAGAAAATCTTGAAATAGATTTTAATAGCTGACTAGTTTCAACTTATTAGTAGCTTTCCCTTCTGAAAACAGGTTCAATGAAGCAAACTGTCTGTTGGCCTAAATAGGTTAAAGAAATGCTGCATTTTGAGAATCTCTCTTAGCTCTGATAACTTTATTGCTTCTGCTGAGTTTCAAATTAATTCTTGTTTAGAAAGCTATATTTAAAGAATAATGGAAACGTTATATATATAATATATATAATGTTTAATAATGGATGTTATTAGTGTCTTCACAAGGAGGGGTAGGTTCCCAGGAGTCTGGAAAATTAAATGTAATTTTAATTCAGAATAAAGATGTGACATGTTGGAACATGTTGGAAAACTGGTTATAGGCTTTCTGAGGTTTCTTAGTCCAAAGAATTTTAAGATAAAGATGGTTCCTAAGTAAGAGTTGTATGTATCCATCTGAAATGATGAGAATAATTTGCTCTTAATCTGTGTTGCTTCAACAGGATCTCCAGCAGAGCTGTCTCCTAGTACTCTCTCCCCAGTTAATCATAGCCTGGGTAAGTTGGAAATACTTTTAATTGTTTCAGTGTGTGTGATGGATCCTCTTTATGTATATAATTACACTAAAAATAAAAATGTACCTTAAAGCAAGAGCTATATTAGGAGGAAACTATTGGGTTGACTTCCTGATAATAAATATAAGAGCTGGGCTAATGACTAGTTAATTACTATACTATTTCTCTAACTGGTGAGCTGCTAGCAAAGAGTAATATGGTTGCATGTGTGTTCAGGAACTGAATTCATAAAATATTTTAAAGGATATTAGCCTGTCTGTAGTGCTGCCCAGACTTGCAGTCTCCCCCTGTCTGTTTTGCTCTTCTCATGTACTGTTTCACCTGTGGCCACAAGACAATTGTTGCTCCTCCATTAGTTGCCCACCTGCTTTGATCAGGTTCTATTGCTAGGTTTCTGTGTAAATCCCTCAGGAAGATCAGATTCCTTTGACTTTGTTTAAGAGTGGGGAGTTGGTGTGAAAGGAAAATGCTGTCCAGAGAGCTGGGCTAAGTAGTTAGTTAGCCTCCATAAAAAGAGGAAGCAATACAGGAGAAGCTGAAGATGCACAGGGAAGATATGAAGCTTTAGTAGGGAGAGTGCCTTCAAATGGATGGGTATAAGGTGAATATATTGTAATATGAGGGAACATAATTTTCATATTTAACTTTTTCCTTTGTTTGGTTCAGTGTTTGATAGTTTGATCTCTTTAATGTTGCCAGAGTGTTTTTAAGTTATAGAATGGTAATAGAAGTGTGTCAATGTCTGGTACTTACAGTAACATTGGTTTAATCATTTTGCTGAGCAAGCACAAGTAAAGTATGTGAGCTGTGATCACTTTAGATCACCCCTTCCCTTTGGTGGAATATTGAATTCTATTCTCTTTACTGTGGTAGGTAAAAACGATGGCAAGCAAAATTAAATTTGAATAGTTTGAGGAGACTTGAGCTATTGTTTCTGGAGGAAAAAAATAGCAAGGCAGATCAATTTCATTTCAGCTTCAGTTCTGTGCTATTCTTTTTTATTTAACTTTTTTTTTAGACTTGCAACCAGTTACTTATTCAGAGCCTGCATTCTGGTGTTCAATTGCATATTATGAATTGAATCAAAGAGTCGGAGAAACCTTCCATGCATCACAGCCTTCCCTGACTGTAGATGGTTTTACAGATCCATCAAATTCAGAACGATTTTGTCTAGGTCTGCTTTCCAATGTAAACAGAAATGCTACAGTGGAAATGACAAGGCGACACATAGGTAAAAATCTAATCTTTTAACTATTTCAGTATTTTAGCTCTGAAATTATCAGTAGTGGTCCAGGTAGGAAAGGCAGATCTGTTGTTTAGGGTTGTTTCACCATTATACAACCAGCTACCGAACTGTCTTCGAGGCTTTCTAAGGAGAGTGTGGTGTCTCTTGCTAAGGACAGAATTGGAAAGACAGAGATCACTGCTTTCAAGTCCAGAGTTCTTTTGTTACTGATATTGGCAGAAGGGGAATGGTTGGACCAGATGATCTTGGAGGTCTTTTCCAATCTTTATGATTCTATGGCCTTCAGTAGAACCTTCTGACTACTTCTGCCCCAAATCCAAATGCTTGTCATAAAATTTTAGAGGTGGAGAAGCCCAAGATATGCCTGTGATGACTGATTAAAATGATCAGTGATGAGGAAAAGTAAACCTGTAAGGCATTCTCCCTTTTTTTTTTTTTTGAGTAGCTCATATTTTATTTGAAAAATGCTTTTGAAGAAAGTTTTTGAAGAAAAATGGGAATAGAAACTATGGCCTTTAAAGGACCTGTTCATTATAATTAGCTTTTGGGGGGGAAATCAATTGTATGTTACTTCTTACTTGTGCCAGAAATAACCCATACGGATTTTTTTTCCTCTGAGAAAGAGCAAGATCATATTTCAGAAGTGAACAATAGGATTTCTTACTGATTTTTTTTTTGACAATAGGACTAAATGAAGTCCCACTGTTTTTGTCAAAGTAGTACAGAAAAAGGGGTATGCAGTGGGTTGTGAAATTGTGTGGGTGCATGTAAGAGGAGAGTCTGTGGAAATGGTATACTTGTTCTGTTTTTTCCCATCATCTTAGCAGCATGTGCCACTTCACATACAGCACTTGATATTGGCACATGTTTTAATTATGCTGAATCTAATCTTTTTCTTTCAATTGTGGCATTTCAAGTGAAAAAATTCTTTACTTCTTAACTTGGCTTTGGTTACTAGCCATTGTGTATCTAGAAAATTCTAGATCACTGGACCAAAAATTATTTTGCCTTCAAATATTGTGTGATAAAAATGCAAGCTAGTTGTGTTCTGTCCCTGCTACAGCTGTCAGACCAGCAGTATGGTTATCTAGATAATTGACTTCTATTTTTGTTGAAAAAAAAAAAATAAAAAATTGGCCTTCTCTAAAACAAAATACTCCCTTGTTTGTTAATCTGCCTGGGTCATATCATAACTAGAGTTCCTTTGAATTTCCTTACAGGAAGGGGAGTACGCCTCTATTACATTGGTGGAGAAGTTTTTGCTGAGTGCCTAAGTGATAGCGCAATTTTTGTTCAGAGCCCAAACTGTAATCAAAGATATGGCTGGCATCCTGCAACTGTGTGCAAAATTCCACCAGGTTAGTAGCCTACCAAAGGTCTTGTACAAAAAAAAATCCAACTTTTTTTTTGTCAGATGTCATTTACTTTTGTTTTGATGCCTAGAAAGGGTTTCTTCATAGTTCTGGTCTTCTGTGTAGCAAACACAAGTATTTAAGTGTACTTCTTGACTTTTTTTCTTTGTAGGATGCAATCTAAAAATCTTCAATAATCAAGAATTTGCTGCTCTTCTGGCTCAATCTGTGAATCAGGGTTTTGAAGCAGTTTATCAGCTTACTAGAATGTGTACTATAAGAATGAGTTTTGTTAAAGGATGGGGAGCTGAATACAGGTAAGAAAAAAGCCTTTACGTTTTTTCCTTTTGCTAATGTGCACTATTTCTCTCTGGCTTGAAAGCTATATATAGCTACTGTAGCTATGTTGTCTTCAAGTTGAACCCCATATTTTCTTTTTCTCTCCTTCAGCTATGGAACTCCTAAGTCATAAAGACAGGTAAACTGATTTTAGTATTGCACTAAAATTCATTGAGCAAGGAGTTTAATCAGAGTTCACTTCCTCACTTAGTCTTACTTGCTTATTGTGGTGAAAACACTGACAACATCTGGAAGTTTCAGAACTTGTTATACAATTGTTTGCTGTGTTAGACCTATAGTCATTTTGGTCTCTGTGCTTTTCTATGAGTATAATGTATAGTATAATGAGTTTGTTAGGTTGGTGTGGGGATACAGTTTGGGACCCAAGGGAAAGTACTGAAGTGACTGAGTTCATTATGCAGACTAAAACAGCTGGTGAACATGCATTTAAGGGATGGCAAATATATTGGAACTTGGAGTGGAAAAAACTTTGCAGGAGTAAGATGTGTGTTTATGTAGAAAAAACTGCTAAAAATCATTGAGTGGAAAAGTAGTCTTTTATCTGCTTTTGAATAGTCTAATTATATTCTCTATAGAACAAACTAAAACCTATAGTTCAGATGGTGCATCTTCTTAATGTAGTATGGGAATTTGGAAGGAAAAGGAGCTAACTTGAAACTGAGCAGTTTTCATTATTTCTCAAGCTGAGATTTCATTATTTTAGAGAGCTACAGATGTAGTTTTAAACAATAACAACAAAAAAACCTTAGAAGTCTCTATAAATTATATACTGAAAGAATAAAGTCTGACACATCAATACCATATTGCAGTACAGAACAATTATTTTCTTTAAATCCTTAATTCTGAAGTTAAATAATACCAGGTTGCACTTTAGATCCTGGAGTTTTGTTTCTTTTATCTGCTCTTGCAATATATCCATGCAAATGTGAGCCATTGGTATGTGGGGGAGGATTCTTGGCTAAATTAAGCCAATTTTATAAAAGCCTAATTAGATTAAATGAAAAATTTGAGTAATTAAATAAATTGGTACCTCTTTGTTAGCAAGAGGTATGCAAGAAAAAAAATCCGGCTCGAGTTTAAAGAACTGTTGGATTTAGCTCAAAAGGAGTATGTATACACTTACGCATAATTAAATACAACATTCAAGTCGGAATAGAAGAAAGGCTTAATCAGTCAGATTATGTGAAGACAACTTGAAGTGAATGGAGTGTAAATGTTGGGTTAAAACAGCGGAGAGGTTTTTGGTGAAGTTATTGCTAAGGAGGGAGAATGATTTTTAGCAGTCTATAAACCCTTCAGAGATCATAGGGTTGAAAAAGCCCAGTGGAAACTGCCAGAACAGCACAGTCTGAGTACCAATGTAATGCTGAAATAGTTTATTTGCATCTCTGTTGAAGATAGTGCTAATAAATTATTGAGGTGCAAAACTTGTAAGTTATGATTAAAGTAAGAAGGGGTTGCTCCTACGTGTACAACCTTGAATTTAAATTAAGGTAGTCTAAATTGTCAAAATAGATGGTGAAGCAGGGTATCACAGAATCACACTAAAAACCAGTCATTGTTAAAACTTCCATGCTTCATTATGTCAGAAATGTTTCTCAGACTAGGTTTTGGCGAAGCCAAACCATTATCTACATTTTAGGCATGTGGCTTATGTTCATAACCATGATGTCAAGGTGGTAGATTTTATAGGCTTAATAGACAAAATAGTTCATAGCTTTTCGCTTGTTGCATGTTGGCTTAAGTTGAGGATTGTGGTAGAAGTTCAGATCAGCAGTTAAGCATTCACATTAACACAGTAACTAACCAGGGCTAAAATAATCTTCTGAAGAAAGTTGAGGTGTAATCACAGCAAAGATTTATTTGATACATAGATGGGAACTCCATGGATAGAAGAAGCTGAGTTCTAGCTTTGAGAGGGCTGCTAAGTGGCTCACTATTTTATCTTTTGCGAGGGCTGTTGAACAGAACCAGTTATAAAATATTCAGGAATATTCTGGAAGTGTGTTGTGTAACAGATTGTAGGGGAGTTGACAGCGGTGGAATAATGAACTTCCTTCTTTGGGAGAGGATTCAAGACTAAATGGAATTACATTTCCTGTGGTTTAGATTGTTCTTTTTATTGGATCACTTTATTTTGGCATAGGCATTCAGGGCTAAGTTAATGTTTTTTTGGAGTGTGGAGAGAGAACAGACCCCAACTGCTTTCTTCTCCTAGAAAATGTAATACCACAGACAGCTCTTGAAATCCATCTTCTCGCTGGTTTAATTTTTCTGCCTTTTCAGTTCCCCCCATTTATATAAACATATTTTCTTAAAGCAAAGAGTTCCGATGCTGACTGTAAAAATGAAGGGACTGGGTTTGTATGTGACTAATCCACTTTCTTTGAATCTTAATGCCTCCTTGCTCTGATTTTGGAATAGGTAGAATTATTAGGAAAAACTGGCTTAGCAACAGTAGGTAGTCTTGCCATTCTAGTTTGAGAAAACTCCCATGTCTGTAGTGGGTACAATGGAATAACAGGATCTCTCAGGCAGAGTATGTCCAATATTTGTTTCTCTGCAGATGAAAAGGAAGACTTCTGAATAACAGGTTTCTCTCCCAAGGATGTATGGGAGAGTGAATAGAACTTTATGGATATCAAGTTTTTGGCTTTTACTGACACTTCCTAAATAGTGTACTAAAAAAAAATAAAAGCTGCTGTTGTGGAAAAATAAGGCAAGTTTGTAGAGAACAGAAACAATTTTTACTTAAACTGCTTGTGTGAAGATCTACAAAACAAAGTAGAAGTATAAATAAGATTACAGGAAATCAGATGAAGTTTGGAGTTCCGTTTGAGATAACATCAGTCAGCACAGTATAACCACACTGTGTTATGATGCAGCATTTCTTGCTTCATTGTACGTTTTTCTTGATGATTGGTCTATAAAGATAGATCTTAAGATTGCCTATGCATTATATTGTTTGGCCACCTTACCTGTGCAGAGCCAAGCATTTCTGTTCCTTATTTTTTCAGTATTTGTCTATGAAATTCAAATGTAGTTATGCATGCAAACTTTTTGATGGTGAAGATAGTAGATGTATGCAGCTGACTGTGATGCAAACACCAGATTGGTTGGACCGTCTTCACTTTTGAGTTGCTTTTTTGTAGTAAGGTGTTGTGGTTTAACCCAGTCAGCAGTTAAACACCACACAGCCGTTTGCTCATCCTCCCCCCTCCCTCTCTGGGATGGGGGAGAGAATCAGGAAAATGAAGCCTGTGGGTTGAGATAAAGACAGTTTATTAAGACAGGAAAATAATTATTATAATAATAGTACTACTAATAATAATGTGTACGAAACAAGTAATGCACAATGCAATTGCTCACCACCCACTGACCGATGCCCAGCCTAACCCCGAGCAGTCCGGCCCTCCTCCCCCCAGCTAGCCACCCCTATCTGTTGTTCAGCATGACATCAGATGGGATGGAATACCCCTTTGGCCAGTTTGGGTCACCTGTCCTGGGTCTGTCCCCTCCCAGCTCCTGCTGCACCCCCAGCCTGCCCGCTGGCAGGACAGAGCGAGAAGCTGAAAGGTCCTTGGCTTGGTGTAAGCACTGCTCTGCAACAATTAAAACATCAGCATGTTATCAGCACTCTTCTCATCCTAAGCCAAAACATAGCACTCTACCAGCTACTAAGAGGAAAATTATCTTAACTGGAACCAGGACGTGAGGCATTTGGTGTGGTGCTTGGAACATTTGCTTTTGTTCTTATTCTGTTCTCCAGAGCAGAACATTCTTGATAAATTGTGGATACAAATGTGATTATTGATGTTTTTCATAGATGTGGGGTGGGTATTTTTTTCCAAAGACTGTTTGGTAAATCATTAGTACAGTTATAGTAATAGTTGCAAACTTTCATCTTTCTTTGTAGTAGAGATGGATGGAAACATCCCATCATATGGATCGTATGATGGAGAACTTTATGGTAGCCAAAGCTCCTTTCTGACTTTCCCATTCCACTTAATTTTTCAGGCGGCAAACAGTAACAAGCACTCCTTGCTGGATTGAACTTCATCTGAACGGACCTCTACAATGGTTGGACAAAGTATTGACTCAGATGGGCTCCCCTTCAGTACGCTGTTCCAGCATGTCATAAAATTCCTTTCTCCATTACCAGTGGGCTAAATACTGAGTCCAATCAACAAACTTAATGTATCAGCTCCTCTGTCATAGTATTTCTGTGTGGTCCCCATGAGCTGTTTACTATCCAAAAAGTTTGTTTTTTTTTTTTTTTTTTAAAAATTACAGCAAAACAGCACTTGAGGTCTCATCAATTGAAGAACCTTGTGGATTCTGTTTCCTATACTCTGATACTAGATGAAAACTTAGTGTATAGAAATGCCTTTTTCAGAAAGAAGGGACAATTCTAAAGACTCTTAATGGTGTTTTTATTGGTATGTAATTGAGTGTCCTAATGGTTTATCAATAACATGAATAGCTAAGTATATGTACAGGTAATGTATCATGATCTCAGATATGACAGCATTGTGCTGTTCTACATTTTATTTCCCATAAATAGATGTTTGGTTTGTTTTTTGATTGGGGAAAGTCTCTCAAAATTCCAAGACTACTCCTTTATTATTTTGTATTTTTTATATAAGCAGGTTTTTGAGTTGTCTTTAACATAAAAAGCAAACTCTACTTGTAGAAAAGCTTAACTTTTTTGCTGTTTTCTTAAAGAAAGGAAATCCCTCCATTAGAAGGGAAAGAAATGTCTGAGATTCATCTGTGAAATCTTAAGACGCTTGATATGCTTAATGGGGCCTAAAATAAATTCATATTACAAATTCCAAGTATCCATCACACTAGGAGTTTACTTTTCCCTACCAGTCTGAGTTGATGCATCTGTTGCCAGCAATATTGCTGGCACTGATTTATCTGGGACTCTTGTATGTTGAATCATTGAAATATTTTTCTCATGGAGTGAGAATTTGCCATATTGTTGGATACTGGATTAAAATACACAAATTTAGTGGTTTACCCCTTACATCTGTTTTCATTAAACAGATATCACTGAAAAAAATCTTGGTTTTAGTTTTTAGAGCAAATACCTTAAAATCCTCTTCCAGGGTAAACTAGACTTTCATATAGGTTTTAAATAGATGCAGTTTCTTAACATATTTCAGTAACACAACTTAAATTTCTGATCTGAGTGGCTTTGTATAGCTTACATACCAGATCATATACATCCATTATGTCATAATGGGCCTTGTTAATAAAAGTAGTTGCTTCTGCAAAACCTCTAGGATAGTGGTTGCTGAGGTATGAGCAGCAAAAGAGGACTTCTAGGTTCTTCATGACAGTGCATGTTATTGTGAACCCTTGGACACTACAGCTGCATCATATTAAAAATATTCTGAAATGTATTCTACAAATAAGTTTGGGTTGGGGGAAGGGTTGGGAAACTGTATAGAAGGGTTATTCTGACTTGAAAAATATACATCTTACTAACAGTCTTGTGATCTATCTATCTGTCATTCTTTCATTATTGTGGCAGTAACAGGATTGCCTTTGTTTTTTTCCCATTGTTTCATCCATTACACTAGTCCTGTACTTCGTAAGTACAGCTAGTGATAACTGAGCTTTGAGAACAAAAATGTGGCCGGTGTTACAGCTTTTAATCAGTTGACTGAATTGATGATAGCAATGGATATTTTTATGCCATAATGACTAGGGCATAGAAGCAATACCAAAAATCAAGCCTTGAAAAAGTGTGACAGACACCTTTTAAAAATTGGCAAAGCAGTTACCAGTTTGTGCTAGTTTTACCAGTAGATTAATGTATTGGTAGAACTTGTGAACCTAAGAAATAAGCTTCATGTGTGTTGCATTTGCCTAATATGTGAATACACTAATAAAAGTTTTAATTCTCATGTTTGTTGCTTTTTTATTAATTGCTGTTTATATTTTCTGTTGAAGGTTAGGAATTATTCTAACCAACCTTAAAAAAAAAAAAAGGCATGAGTTGCATGCATGCTGTGGCCAGAAAAGTGTATAGCTTAGATGTTAAAATCGCTTCTTAGACAGCTATTGTGGAGGTTCTGGTTCTGTGTGTTTAACAACACAGGTTTCTACTTCAGATCAAGTTTATTAAAGCAGTTGCTTTTTTCCTGCCACAACCGAATTACATCCTACTGGTTCAGATGTTTGCTTTCACCTGTGAAACAGATAAGAGCAACTTGTCTGGGTGAAAGACTCCATTGCATTTATGAACAGGTTGCAACTTGAATCAGTTGGGTGACCAATTGTATAGTCTCCTTACTGTGGGTTTCTGTATGTGTTCTCTTTCAGCTGGGGCGATATTCCTTGCTTTGTCTTGAACACAGTAATAGCCTTGATGGAAGCCATTTTTGGGTATGTGCTTCCAAGTAGTGTGCAAGGATGCTGCAGGCATTATCTGTGGACCTGTGATGCTGCCTGTGGACAAGGCCATCTCAGATTTTGTAGAAGTCACTTTTTGGCTTGTCAGTATCACTAAAATACTCTCCCATTGTTACTGTTTCTGCCACAGCTTGGTGGAACAAGGGAACAAATCTTCATTTGAAGTATGCTTACCTGTATTTAATTAAAATGGTTTTGGCAGTCCTTGAGTAACTTTAACCTACTCCTGTTTCTTAATCCAGTGCCTTTCTGACTTAATCCCACTGATGTTCTGTTCTTCCTCAAAACCTGACCAGTGCCTGCTCAAACATCTCAATGCAGAATACCTGTGGTATGTAAGGAATGTGACTTCATCCCTCTTTTGCCAGGCAAAGTATAATGACTTCCAAAGTACAAATGAAAAGTGAATTATTTTTTTCAGTAAGTGTTTTGTTAATAAAACACTGAGCAGGGAGCAATCAGCTGAAGTATTCCAGGTGTGGTTAGCCAGCTAGTTATCTGTATAATGAAGCTGGAAAAGTGCTGTATGTACTGACGTGCTCTAACTTTGGACTGGGATTCTATGTGCCTGGGTGCTAATCTCTCCCTTGTCACTAGCCCTGTCTGAGCTTGATTTTCGTAGTACTGCCAAAGCAAAGTAATCAAAAATCAGGTAATTGATGTAAACACCTGAGCCATAAAACAGTTTGAGTTGCTTCATCTCAGTACATCCAAGCTGAGAAAACTTCTCAGAACCCCTCTCAGAACACCTCTGAAGAAAAAGCCAATTTCATTTTAACAGTTCTTCCAGTTCCAGGCCCGTGTCTTTGAGAACAATGTCAAATGCCTGGAGTTTTGCACCTTTAAACTGTGAGAATTGATAGCTGAATGTTACCTCTGTGTATTTTCCCGTTGCTTTTGTGCATGGTGCTTATTTAGGTGGTCAGCTTTCTGTGACAGAATTTCTCCACTGCTGTTTTAGTGTTTTGCGCAGAATCCTCCCACCTCCTTTGGCTTCCAGGTGCTATTATACAACTCTAGAATGTGGTGAAAGCTGTGGTGTTTTCTTGTTCTTACTCAGGGTGCTGTGCTTAATCAGTACTTAACCTCTTTGAGACTGATTGCAGGCAAACTGAACAGCTTAACTTCAAACTCTGTGTATAACAGGGAGAGGTAAACTCTAAATGTGTTTGGGACTCTGAGTTGGCTTTCCAGTAGAGAGCAAAGTCTGTTGATGGAGGTGCCTAATTTAAATACATAAAGTATGAATATCTGCTTTAAAAGGTACTTGGATGATATCAAAATAGTCTGCTTAGATGTGTAGTAATATAGCTTTAAACTAATTTACACTGTAAAACTAGAAATCACAATTACTATACTATGCTAAGCTTCTTATTTTCACGTGTTCAACTTTTCATGTTGAAGTGGGTGGGTGTGATGTTTGGGGGGGGTTGATAATCATCTGCCTCTAAATTGTTGGCACAGTGAGCTGAAAGTGTTTTGTTTTTACCTTCAAACTTGTCATACTTCATTGTGGTTACGGCTTTTTTTAGCATTGCAAACTGAAATTTTCCTGCAGCTGGGTTTTGAGTTAAAATATTGTGAAATATAGGATTTCACTATACTCTACCCACGCAGTGTTTTACTCGAGTATAAAGTGGTGTTCCTTTTCCCAAAACAAGTCTGACTGTAGTCTAATTTTGGGAATGCTCAAGCTTCAACACTAGCTCCGAAGAGTTTATGAAGTACTGTACTCATCAGAAGAATTACACACATCCTAAGTAATGTGACAGCAATACTAGAAAGTATTTCTAGGAGAACCTTAGGGAATTAAATTGCAGCCAGTCTGAAAGTTTGTTACTAGTGAGAAAATACTAATGAATTGTGTATTTTCTTGACCCCGTAAGCTTGGCTGGTATGTAACCATCACAAACTATATATTAAAGAAGGCCATTTAAAAATAGCCTTTAGTCATCTTAGTCATCTTTTCCATGCCTCTTGTGTAAAAACTTCTCTAAATAAGATTGTTTTCCCAAGAGAAGAAACAGCACTGTTTATGGAATAAATTTCTAGTAATAGAATTGTCACAGCTACAAAAACTAGAATCAAGGCTTCAAAGCTAAGAACAATCTTTGATGTTACATTACTTGTTTCATTAACTATAGTCAGGATTAAATCTAGTCAGCTGGCAGAAGAAAAATGGATGAATAATGGGTATGTAAAGATGTCAGGCCCTGATGCTCTTGATCCTCTTCCCCCATGCAGAAGATCTAGCCAAAATGGATTATAGGAAAGCCCAGTTGCTTGTCCTTTTCCTCTTGGAATAGGATCCAAAGTGGCAATGGACATGCATGCTCCTGCACTACTGTTTTTCTTTTAATTTGCAACAATAAAAGGTGAAACAAAGCTGACACTGATTTTTCTGTGTTAACAGTATCTAGCTATTTGCTCATCTAAAGCTGCAGTAAGGTATTAAAAAAAAAAGTACACCTCATGAATTAATTGAGCTTATAAGCAATGTGTACCTGAGGCTGAAAATTCCATATGATTTTAAAACTTATCTTTGCTTTAAAGTTTCGCTTATTTGCCTTTTCATTTTGAAGTAAAATTCCAAGAGCAACTATTGTGGCACCAAGCATAGACTATTGAACTTCAGTTGTCAGCAGTTGCAGTTCTATCTGTGGATGACGGGGTGGGTGCTGTCTATCAGTTCTTATTTAATCCTCGAGAGGAGTTGTCTAGGTAGTTGGTCACCTTTGGGCAAGGAGTAACTAGGCAGGGAAATGGGAGGATCTCAAACAAGGAAGGTGGAGTAGAGGCACTTCAAGTTTCAGAGCTGTGTTCTGGAGCAGGGAATCCCAGGCTCCTCAGGGTTGTTTCTTATGCTCCAAAGTCCTCAAATACACAAGACAGTTTGACAGGGAGTAGTATTGTAGCTAAGCTTAGGTTGTCTAGATTCATTAATTCGTTTGAAACAAAACTAATGCATAATGAATTTGGAAACACTTCAGAAGTCCTGTCTCTGTGTTGCTTGTCCTTGAAAAGTTGATCTGTAGGATTCACAGAGTGAAAATGAGGGGAGAAAATAGGTGTTTAACCTATTGAGATATATGGATGGGGGACATTCTGCATAGACTCCCCAGGGCTTTAACAGCTGGGTGTTTGTATTTTCCAGTGAAATCACTGATGGAGGCTGTGGTTAAAAGAATGGGGGGGGGGGGGGGTGAGCCTCAGGCAGGAGAGGCAGGCTTTTCAGGGGAAAAGCAGGACTCTGTCCTGCTGAAGCCCTGAGAAGAGCAAAATGTATCTTGCCATAAAACAGCGTGGGCAGCGTCAAGATTTGAGAGCTGCTAGCAATTTGAGTAAGCCCATGCAGAGAAAGATTGCACTATTAGAGATGTTAGCTCAGGTACAGGTTCTAGTGAAGTTTCTTACAGACCTGAGCCAAGATGCGTACCTGAGGATTTAATTGTGTTGTGTGCCTGTATTGTGCTCCCTTGCTTGCTTGGTTCCAGAGTTAATAAAGGCAGGTGAAGCTCAGGCTGGGCTTTGCTGCCAGTGTAGTAGGGTAAGGGCTCCACGGAGTTCTACTACCCAGACTGATGCCTAAGAGTGGAGAAAGGACTTGAGAATTAGTTGCAATATCTTTTGGTAAGCAGTCTGCATAGCAAACAGCATTGCCTTCAGTAGCAGAGGATCCAAAACTACTAGATTTGTAGTGGGGAACAAACAAAACAGTTTTTCATGAGGACTGCGGGAGAGCACTGCCATGCATTTGAGGAGTGAAGCAGCTGCAGAAGTGCGGGAGGACTGCAGAGCACTGTGGCAGGCTGAGAGCAGAGGAAGCTGGGCCTGAGGGCTGTGGTTGTTCTGCAAAGCATCCGCCCTCCAGACTGGATGTACCTAACAGGATCCAAATCTGCAAAAAAGATGCACGTACAACACTGAGGTGTACATCCATAGCCAACATAAGCTTTATCTCATCTTTTTGTAGTTGAGCCTTGGAAATGATAACGCTAATTTAGGAGCAATAATCCCCTTCTAGACCAGTATGCTATCTCTTCTTTTACAGCTTCAGAAGTCTGAGCCTCCAATTGGAGGAAAAACCACAGCTGTTAGCAATGCTGATGTTAGTATTGATGTGAGGGGAAAATATCTTCATAATGTACTCAGACTTTGAGGTTTGCATGAGGATGCATGAAATCAAAATGGGCAAAGAGCCAGGGCTGAGAAACACTGATGTTTAGTAGAACTGGAAAAGCGGTGGAACTGAAAAAATGGAAGTGGGTGATGCTCAGTTTCAGCAGAGATAAGTGGTCTTAAAAGCACTCTCACCAGTATACGAGCACTCTTGATACGTATCTGCTAGTTAAGAAGAAAACCAGTTTTTGTCTTTGTTACAGTACTGAAAGAATGATTGGAATGCAGGGAAATTGAGCTAGTGGGAATACAAGTCTGGTTTTGCACCTCTGTTACTCTCAAAGCTGGGACTTGGTGTAGTCCCTTTAGAAGT